AAACGAAGGATGGGCCAAAGTGGCACATAGCAACCAAGGTATGACGTTGGTATTGACAATTGTCATGCACACGCGCACAGGATGAGGGGTCACGAATCAGCTGGCAGCCGCATGCTGATAAAGAAACAAAAAGCAACTCCTTGCATCTTCGACTGTCTTTGCCATTTTGGCATTTAAGCCGCAAATCACGCTTCCTGACCTGTCACTGAAGCTGTGACTCCCAACAAGGTTTTGGGTGCCGGTGTCCCGGCAGACTGGCTATTGGCAGGCCGGACCGGGGGGTTGCCGCCGCCGAGGCGAGAAGATGGGGCTCACGGCCAAACGGTTCAGATTCTCTCGAGCCAGGGGAGAAAGTGAAGAACTCACCCAAGGCTCTTCATGAACAAACACGAAGAATACATCGTTCAATGAGAGCCTGCTCAGCTGCTCGCCCTTCTGAAGGAACCCCCAAAGTACTAGTTACTAGTATAGATGGTTTGATTCGGAAGGAGTGACTTCTCGGGTTGCCAGGGGGGCGATCCAATACATTGGGTCTGTCCCATTGCCGGCAACATCCTGCAACAGTCCGTAAACTATCATCACGATTTTTGAGCAAGGCCTTTACCAACCATCATCATCCACTGGGCCCTGGCAGACTCGGATAGACCCAACATATGCCCAAATCTTCAACAGGGAGCCCGGTTCCTCGTGCTGAGCGCAGCTGCGGCTAGTCTGGAGGCCTTGGGGCTAAACCGCTGGCGATTCCCGAGCGTTGGTCGCGCCGGAGGTGCAGATGGAAGACATTGCCATTGGCAACAAGCAGCAGAACCTGTGCTCCGATTGCCAGGCACCAGAGCGAGCGTGTATAGGCATCCAACATGTCTTAGTCAATTTTGTATATATAACATATATACCAAAAGACATCTTTTTTACAGAAGGTCTAGCATAGACTAGACCTTCTTTGTGGTGGCTAGGTGGGGGTTCCAATGATCTGACTTTCGCTTTGAGACGTTTTTCACTACAAATTCATAGCAAGCAGCAATCAGCTGCAACAAGTCAGCAACCCTTTTTGCCAGTCCACGGAGTCTTTTGGCGCGGAGCGCTCCGCGTTCTCGTCCCCGGCGCTCGGCGCCTGCGCGGTCGCGCGTTGGGACGTCGCGCATGTTGGGACCGAAGTCCTTGGGCCTCGTCTTCACCAGCTTCGGAACGTGGAGACCACCTCGTCTCAGAGGTTTAGCATCTTCAGCACTTCCTCCCCTAGGCTCCGGACCCACCGACTAGGACAAATCCGAATCGGGGGCGACACGGTCCGAGATCGGTGAGTGTCGATGGAAAGACGTCAAAAACGGCAGCCTGCAAATGGATCCGTGGCATGGTTTCCCAGACATTTTGAGTGGGGATCGTCCATTTGGAGGTCTATATCTATATATGTACTGCATATATATTATCTATATATATATATATTATAGTAACATATATATATATACATATATCACTATTTTTCAGGGAGACCTGCAACCGATTTTATAATCCTTCTTCTGTCCAAGCAATTTATGGGTTCTATTGTGGTGGCAAAATTCATCTGCAGGAAGAGGGTTCCCACTTGGTTCTTGACAAGAAGGAAAGCGGAGAAATCCATTGTTCACTTGCACCACATTTCCTAGCCAGCATATGTATAACATGCAAAACCGCAACCCATTGGTACAGTCACGGGGTATCCTGGGCCCTGGCCATCCCTGGCCTGGGCACCCTGGTTGACCCCGGGTCAAACGAACAGGTTCATCTATAAAGGGATGTCAACCTCCCATGGTTTGGAGGTTTTGACTCACAGGCATATCTTATATTGGTGTAAATTGGTACCAGGACCCTCAAGGGGTGCCCAATGGAAGCCTATAGGTAGTGTGGGGTAGTTCATTGGACACCCCTTGGAGGGTCCTGGTACTTTGTACTTACAACAGGTAAATCAAGATACACATCCACTTCTTTGAAGGCTTCGCCAGTGGTTCGCCAGGTGGCGGTGGACACGGGCACCTCAATGCTTGCAGGGCCCAGCGCGGTCATCGGCGAGCTGACCAAGCCGGGTCCTTGAAAGGTCGTCTTTCTACACGATGAACGGACGAATGAGTCGCGGGTTTCGGTGCGTAGGATGAGAGGCGGCGGTGCGCAGGATGCATGGATTCAGTCATGGATTCACTGCATTTCACTGCATTTCGGTGCGTGAAATGGCTGAGGTTCTTCCTTTTAGGATCCTTTTGGCTATCATGCTTGGGGTGTTCCCGGTCCCGCCGCGGTCAGGCGGCTGAACGTGGCACCAGATTGCTCCAACTACCAGGCACGAGACGCGCTGAAGATGGAGAGAAGGATTGGGACTGAAAGGCGGTGAAAGACGGGTCTAGTTCATTCCAATTTGTAGATTCTACATCAACATGATATATATATATATAGTTATATATCTATGTATATATTATCTCTCTCTATATATATAATATACTATATACAGATCAAACCTTTGGACTCATGGATGTGCCCAGACCGTGGGCGCGAAAACGGAGTGACGCATATGATTGATTATCTTCCCCCACCAGTTGGACCAGCGTTCCACTTCTTTTTTGGTTTGTCACTCCATTCGCTCCCTTCATTTTCCACCCCTCCTCTACCCATCTCCGTGCTCAGAGTCACCTTCAGCCAGCTCGGAGTCCGATCTGCCTCAGTTTTGGGGCGGCCTTTAGGAATTTCGGGATTCCTGCCATTCCTACCCAGGACAAGCCAAAGAGAGGTTGAACAGCCCCATAGCTTATCCCACATGTACGTCCTCTCTTGGTCCCTTTGGGGGCTTCCTTTTTTGGGGATTGGGGTGGCTCCCCGCTACAAACCAAAGTTCGGTCAACCTTTAGGAGCGTTCTTGTCCAGCCAAACTGAGGGAGTCGACCGTTGAATGCTTCCAACTGAGCCCAGTTGCACCGTGACTTCCTCTGGCCATCCCGTGTGTCAGGAATTGCCAGATCTGGGCTTCGTGGTGGCGGGGCATGTGCCTGGGTTGCAGCGAGGCCAAGGCGCGAATCGGCGCGAAGGAGTGAAACTGAAGGACCAGCGGACTGCAGTCATCCGAAGACCCAAACCGATGCAAAGGGGTCCAGTACCCAAACCCCAGAAGATCAACGGGCCTTTGGAAGACGATTTTTCCTCTACAAACCGAGTGGTTTTCAGGTTCCATGTGGGTCTCGTGCGCGGCGTATCCTTTCCCGACTTCAACCTTTGAACTTCACATTTTGGCGCCATGTTCCCAGTTTGGGTTCAGCAAGCCACTTGAACGAGCCTGGCGCCACGACCCAGGTGATGAATCTCAAACCTTCGGATTATGTGGACAAGTCTGCTGGCAGCTGCTCTCCCTCTCTCATGAGTCGCCCGGCTGATATCGTTCGTTGGACGCGGACGCGTTAAGCTTCGCTCGTCAGGTTCGAGGGTTGAGATTGTTTGGGGCCGGGATGTTTAGGGGAGGTTGGAAATTTCCTTTCACTTCAAGATTGTTGAAGGAAGGTTCACTCTCCCGAGGATCCATCACGTTTATTCACTCATACTTTGAGGGCTGTGGGTGCCCGTTGGTTGCTCAACCTTGTTTCACGCGGTGTTTTCAGGTCTCAACCAGAAGGTCGATCCTGAAGAAACCGCCCCGTGGGAAGAACCAGACGTGGCCTGCCCATCCGAGTCACAGACGGGGGCGAGCCAGGCTTAGACGTGCCGCCGCCCAACGGGCCGCTCTTCATCTTCGGCGACCCCTTCCTCCGCAAGTGCTTTGGCCTGCAGATGTCGAGTTGCTTCCGTCGAGGTATGGAGGGTGGAAGGGAGGCGGGGTTGAGGTTGATGGATCGTTTGAAGCGGGTTGTGCAGCACTGTGCGGGAGGGTTTAGACGCAGAATTGAGTTATATATTCCTCCAATGGGTTCCGATGGAAAATAGACACACGTGATGTAAACGTCGCCTTTTCAAGGGGTCATTTTCCACTTTCATGTTACTGCAGTGAGTTGGAGTTGGAGTTGGAGCGTATTGAAATGGGGCCTTTGCCGACCCTTTCCTAAGCATGCCATCCCAAGTGCAGGTTCTACTCGGCCTATGACCTGCGACGCCATCGCGTGGGCTTCGCGGTGGCGCGGCACGTGGGGGTGCCGGAGGCGCGAGCACAGGCCGGGTCCAGTGATGTTCGCGTACACAGGGGCCCGCATATAAGGCGGCTTTGGGATTTGATGAGGGGGACGGCTGATTTTCTCGGAACTTTGAACTCAGTTGTCATCAGAAAAGGTATTCAATCATGTATATAATTGAAGACCGTGATAGACCAGAAAAACATGTGCGCATCCTCCTCGTCCAGTGGAAATAGGTTTTCTATATGGCTTTTGTGTTTTCAGAACTGATATGCAAGTTGAACATCCCAATCCAGGTGACTTTCCGCTCATAAATCTATCCGCACTGACTCTGCATGACCTTGGATGAGAGCTTTGACCATCTGAAATGTGTTTGCTCCTGCTCCCCCTGCCTCAGCAACCTGCCAGGTCCAAACCGGTCCCCCGACCCGACCGACCAGGCGCTTCTGGTCTCCTTGGGCTCCGGCGTGCAAAAGGGCTTCCTCTCCAAATAAACGCGGAAACCCCACGCGGAAACAAAGGATCGAGGAAAAAGGTGCTCGGGGCCGCCGTCCGCCGGAGGGTAGAGAGGAACATTATGATCATTATGCATTGCATTGTGGAGGGGGGCGTTTGCCCTACTGAGGCATGCCCGGCAGGCCGAAAGAGGGCAGGACTGTTTCGTTTGAAGTTCACTCTATCGATTCTGGGTCAGCGGTATGCCAGGGTAGTGGGAGAAGTGCATTTTCTTGATGGCCCCCCACAGGTGACCAGCATCAAGCCTAAGCTACGCCAGCCAAAGAAACCCAACGCAAAACCCACACGGTCCATCCTATCTCAGTGGCCGCCTTCCGTGCGCCCCGGATTCCGGGCCTCAAATCGACTCCACCCACGACTCCCGAGGGCTGCCAAAGCCATCATTGGCCGGGCGGGGGAGAACATCAAGGCCCTCCGGGTGTGGAGTGCCCAGCTTCGGCGCAAGGAAGTGGAGAGGAAAGGCCTGGGAAGGTGGGGAAGGGCGGGGCCAAAACGGAAAGACGATGAAAGACGTCTGCTGTTGAGGGCGTTTGGATTTGGTCACTCCGATGATTGGAGGTTTGGTTTCAACAGCAGGAGCTGTACAGGAGCTTCGCAGGTGCAGCTTCACAGGGTTCAGGGTGCTGAGGCCTCCAAGCGTTCCAGGGGACTTTCGGCGGCCTCAACCGGTTGCCGAGGCGAGCTCTGGCATGAAAATACGTGTCGAGGACGGGCCGGACGGCGCCCCGCTGTCCGGCACGAGCCACTGCGAGGGATGGGATACACAAAAGTTATGATGAACGCTAAAGCTAGTTCTGATGACACAGCAAAACATAAAAAATGCATAAACAATGCAAAAATAATGCAAAACCAATCCCGAAAAAAATGCACAGAAAACGCGAAAACAAGTCACCAAAGGATGCCTTGGAATGCAAAAAAAACGCAAAAAAATGCGAAAAAAAACGCATGTGTCCACTAAACCAATGCAAAAAATGCAAAAACAATGCACAAAAAAGGCACAAAAAATGCAAAAACAATGCACAAAAAATGCAAAAAA